GCAGCACTAAGGAAGGGGGTGGTATGTTTGGCCCGATAAAAATTAGAAAACTCTCGCCTCGGGACAGGATCGCATGGCTGTTATCCAAAAATGTAGTTGGTGGTCCCACATTAGAGCCCCCTAGTGGAAACGACTGACAGAATTGGACCCGGACCTAGCAAAAGCTGGCCTAACAATTAGAAAGGACAAGATAAAATATGAAATGCTGTTTTATTTTATAAGAAAATGCACCAAACGCATCTTGAACCACGATCAAAGACTAGTTCGCAATGGTCTCTTTGATGAACATCGTGTCCTCCGCCATTTCTCGAACAACACTCGATTATGCGCACCACAATCGCTTTAAGTTTGACTGGGTTTTTGCCTGATTTTTCTTTACTGAAAGCCAATTTATATAAAGCCAATGATATATAAAATATATAAAAACTTCATATAAACTATACGAATTTTTCCTTCAATGTGAACAGAAAGTGAACTCACTAAGAACGTTTTGTGTTTTGTTTATTTAAAAAAAAAAAAAAAAAAAAGTCTTCTTCAGAGTATGGTCTTCCATATAAATTAGTGAGTTACACCAGAAAATTTGTCATTTATTATACCTAGAATGCAATGAAAAATAGCAGAAAAACTAAGTCCGCTGAACAGGACCGTTCTTGGACCAATCTGGACATTGTCTACTTGTAACTAGATATCTAGACCAGCTAGCGTAATTAGTATATTCCAAGAATTTCTGCGTTAGCTAACGGTCTACCAGCTGAGAAGATTGGTGAGGGACAGCTGGTTAATTTTCTGCAGTAACTTAATCTTGATAGAAGTACTCAAACTATAGACGAACTCATATTTCGAGCCTAAGCTAACAATATTTAGGCCTACTTCATGGCCTATTCATTCTATGAAGCAATTCAAGGGGGGAAAATATTACAAAAAGACAGTTCGAGGCAACTCGGTACAATATAAGCGACAAATACCTCACTTTATCATTGTGTTTAAATATACATATGTGGCCATGAGCAGACAGCTTGTTGGGGTGCGACGCGTGCAGCCTGTGACATGTGCATCCATTGCCACAGGGAATTGGTGATATCGGAGTGTGCAAAAAACATACCCGCCGAAACCACGTGTAACTTAAATTTTTCGGCGTATACGCCCCACAAATTTATACGAAATGCCTATTCGCCTGGTTTGCTTTTCTATATATTTTTGCCTTTCGGTCTTCGTCTCATACGTGCTATTTACCACCGAAGTAAGAGTACCTCGCGTATATTTTATATGTACGGTCTAATAGTTCCCGGATGTAATAAACATTAGCCGTCGATACGATCCACGGTTTTGGCACGATACTGTAGCTGACCTCAGTAATGTCGTTTTGCAGGCCATTTCAGCTGCCTTTGTTACAAAGCTTTCAAAATTGCCCGACTTTATGAAACGTTATAATATTGTACGTCAGATCTTTTGACGGCTGTCATTTGCCTAAGAAAATCGAAATTCATCGAAAATAAATGCCATTACTGCTTTAATTGAGCTTTGCTTTCGACAACTGACTTAGGGCGAACAAGAAAGTGTGTCTAGGTGCCGGTCCGAACCTGGACTATCCCGTCTGTCCTTAAATTTAGTAGGTAAGCATATTACGACCATCACGAAGACATCGGAATACGCTTAGCGATTACAAAAGCTGCTGATTTATTGTATTAGGCACAATGGCGTCGTCTTCGAATTGCCATCTGCTTCTGTGTATCGACAGCAGTAGCAGCAGCGGCGTTCACTACAACAAGGTTGATGACGCTGTCGAATATAACGTGACTTAAAGGATACTTTATCATGAGCTGTCTTCGATATCCAGTGCATTCTTGATGGCCTTAACCTTCTTAGTTAGTTGCTAACATAATCTACTTTGTACTATACTATAGCCCTGAATCGGCTGCGTAAGTATAACGAATCCTCAAGTCATTTGACACAGCTGCTGTCTACTTAAGGGCAAATCTTTCTGTTCATGGGCGTCCATTCTCGATAGGTACGGCTCGCCTTATTTAGTTTGATGAAGATGTCGCCTGGCCTTGTCCTATACTTTGCACGGATTCTGATGAGGGTTGGCATGGCAGCGACAGTAGTAGCGGTGTCATATGCTATCCCCAGAGACTTTCTCAGACTCTGGCCTCACTGGCGCACATGGACAATATCTGATTACCTCCTTTACTCCTTAAATCAGCTGCTTCATCACCTATATGAGTACAGCATAGACGTATACAGAAGTACGCGCGTAAATACAATGTGTAATCACACCCTATTTCTATCTTCCCCCTTTTTCCTTCCGTAGCAGCGGCAACAGACCCTTCTCCTACGAGCCCTGTTTTCCAATCGTTGTTGACGGCATAGGAAATTGTAGAGAAAACAAAGCTTGGTCTGCCATTTTACAGAAGAATGTTTAATGATAATTTATAGCGGTCATAATACCTGTTGAACGCAGGCTCAGGCAAACATAAATTATGCGCTTATCTAGTCATAACTAGTATCGAAATGTGTCAGACATAATAGCACGGAATTCCAACGTTAGACAAAAACGAATCAATAGGTTAACTGTAATTAGCGTAAGAGGAATATAATGTATCCTTACGTGCCCTTCACAATCGAATGCATAGTAAAAGGTACGCTTCGGTTTACGACCATAAAAAATAAGGGTACCTGCTGAATTTAGCTTAAATTTAATTCAATAGAAGTTAACGAAAATCAGACATAATTAAGTATCGAAACAAGGAGCGGTATTTGTCAGGCCTCTATTAATTTCAGCAGACACCTGTCTCTACCTCAGGTGGGATTCAACCAGCTGCTTCCATGTTGTCGAAAGACCTCTTACGAAAATTGTAATTTCCGTATACTACACCTTGATATGATCTATATATTTGCTATCGTTTATAGGACCTTATAACAAATAGGATAACGTATTCACGTGTCGTCGATAGTTAACAGAAGTAAGTAAAAGTAACTGCGCAATTTAAAATCAACATAAAGTGTATGCTCCTAAATCCGTCAAAAAGTTAAATGCAGGCAGAAAGAAAAACGAAGAAATAGCTTGTCCTTTGCCACGCAAGTGATAACCTCGAAGTCTCGCTGACGACCGGAAAGTATTTCCAGTCCAAAGGCCTTAGGGACTTTCAATGTTGCAGGTTCGCTAGGTAGGGAGAGTTATCATTATCTCTGCCTATTGGCCGCTAATGTTGTTGATTTTCCTCGTTTCAAAGGCCACGTTGTCCTAACGAGATAGATAACAGTAGTTTGCAAAACATGCTATAGAGCGGCTACAACGTCTGAGGCACACAGAATACAGCGAAAGCTATCTGACGCGGTTAACAGAAAAGCTGCTAGCCACTTGTTCGTCATGAAGGGGCCGTTAGTGACGCACATTGACTACGACGTTTGCGAATTCTGAAGCTTTTCTACCTAACGTTATTAAGAAATGTTCTATACAATGTTCTATACAGCCTTTGCATCTGTCCTGTATTGTTTTTAATACTTGGCGTTTGTCTCCATGACAACACTAATCTGACATTACCGCACCCATCGTCAGTACTAAGGTCCAGTCTATGTTATGTTGATATTTACCTGTTATTATGAAGGTAACTGACGCCAAAGACGATTTTTCGCTTTACATTGGAGCGTCAAATCTTCACAAAAGGCCACTTCAGAGCAATTGTACTTGAATGATCGACACTGCCATGATGATTTTAATCATCATGGCGATGTCGAAATAAAGCATCAGCTCAATCTACCCGCAGTAAATGCAAATGCAGGTGTATTATACGAAGTGAGATTAAAGTTACGGGACGTCACGAAAAAAACACTTGGTAGTTTATAAAACACGTGTTCACACGTAAGGTCTCAATTTCATATCTGTTAAAGCAACAGAAGATATGTAAAATATTACAATACACAGCGATAGAGTTACCCTATATATAACACCTATTTATACATTCTCATTGAAATAGCTTTCAGAATATTGGGATTTATATAGAAATAGTACTAAGAGGCCTCTATTGCACTCCTGAATCCACTTACGTATCATCTGCTAAAGCCGGAAAGAAACGTTTTTTAAACTATCCAGAGACCTTCCGATACTGATCTGCAGTCTATGGCCTGCACCTGATCCATGTCAGACTGTTATTAAATTGGGTTTGTGCGAGGTCTGTTACACTTACTATATAAAGATCAAAAGAAGTTACCGTAGAAACGTCAAGAAGTGTATCTTGGCGAGCATATCGTGTTCTTAACCGTTTTCGATTTGTGATATGCGTTGTAACGTCTCAGTTGCGGAGTGTGAACCAGGCGTGTCTAGCTAATAACTTCTAGCGTTTACGCATTTACGTATTGTATGCATTCAATGGCGGTTAGAACAGAATAACGGAACAACTGAATCGTTCAAGCATCGTAGTTGTGCTTCGTATGTCAAGCGCTTAAGACCTTCTCTGTGAAAAAATAATGTACCGCTGCATCCAAGAGGCGCGAAAAATTTAGTCAATGGAATGGCGACATACTACGAGCTGTCAGGATTGCGAGGAAAACGTGGTCCTGATTATGCCTTCTCCGATTTACCCTCACCTCGAATAGATGATGCCATGGGAAGTGCAAGCGGTCGCCAATGACGCTACTGATAACCATAGAAAGTAATAAGGCTGTATATACATACACACATACATAGCGTGCAATCTGCAATGTTTACAAATTTTAGAGTCCTGAATGTACAGTACGATGTGCCAGACGCAAACGCTATTTCTAAAGCTACGGGGAAAACAGTTGGTCTCCGTATCTTAACGCTAACTATGACGCGAAAAACTACTGAGTGTAAATATGATGTAATGTAATAGTCACCGTCAGGCAATTGAGTCTTAGAACAGGATGGATCTTCTTTTGATAGCTCCTGCGTCTATGCCGCACCATCGTCTTTGAGGGTTTCTTCATACTTATGCAGAAAAAATCATGTCCAAACGTTCGATTTTCTACTATTGTTCCAGGAAATTTGCCGTGAGAAGGTTGAGAATGCGCCGTGCCGTAGCGATGCAGATTGTTTTTGCAGCAAGAGCGTCCACCCGTACATTTGCCACGACGCGCTCGGCGTCTGCACGAGAAAAGGTAATACAGTCAATCATAATAAGGATCTGGATGTAAACTGTGGAATGCAGACTGCAGCATGTAGTAGGTGATTGAGTTTATGTATGCTTCAGGACTAGCGCAAGGGACAGTGAAGGCCTTTATTGCATACTAATTATACTTTATCGGTTTGTGTTTCCAGAATTGTAGTTGTATTCCATAGACATGACCTGTTTCGTAGAAACGCTGATTGTAGCCCACCCTAAACCTAAGCTTTCCTTAAACGATACTGATTAGACTACGTCTCATATGGTTTGTGACCACCGAACGAATTTAAAAGAAATCAAATAACTCTATTTTTTGCTAAAGGCCAACAAAGAGAGCGCAGGTTCTGAAGTTTCACATAGAGGATCAGATTGCTCCAACCTAAAAAACAGAGTTTAATTAGGATAGTTATGGGTGAAAAGGTCAAATAACAACGGGGCCTAATGCGCCTCTAAAATAATGCCTTCACTTACAAGTTAGCTCATGCTGACGACGTCAACACTGCAGCAATGATGGCCTATGATTCGCTAAAATCGTTGCCACCTCCTGTCTAAAGGGAGAATGTAAATGCCCGTACGGTGGTTCTAAGCCTTTAAATTAGAATTTTTTTTTAATATGAGCCACATGTGTACAAACATAATAACATAAATACTGCACTGGAATGTAGTGATTCGAAATGAATTGGCAGACCTTGTAAGAACAGCGAGCACGCATGTTTTGTAATACTAGTACTACGTAAACAACCCTAAGTGTCCTTTATCTTGCTTTGAAAAGTGCTATGCTTAAGCCCCTTATGGGCCTCGTTTCAAATAACTGGCCGATTGGGGCAAAAAGCAAAACATACGTTTAAGGCTTTAACACTCCTTTAGTTAATGCCCGAAAAAAACTTCTACAAAAGTTCATTGAAGACAGATTTAGATTTTGGAGAATATCTAGAGTTTATTGCATTGAAAATTCATCATTTTTTAGATGCTAAAGGTATAGTTGCAAAAGCTTATTCCTTATAGAAGGCCTTTTCTAGGTAAATGAACTGAAAAAAGAAAGAATACATTTTGAAAAAGAACAAAACTTCACTCTATGTACGCGAGGGTTTCTTTTTATTAGTTTGATAACTTGGCTTTGGTAAAGAACGATAAAAATTGTTTTTGAAGCCGAAATAAGTTAACGTATTTCAAGGCTTTATCATTAATAGTAAGGCCAGTATGTTTTAAGGAAATCCGAGAGCGATCAATAACAGCGCCAGGTAAGTATTGATTGATCTTTATGCTCACTAAAAATGTCTTGATATTCAAAAGAGTAGAAAGAAATCTCTCTCGAATATTCGACTCATATAAGAAGTATCTGCTAATACGAATGCGTATCAGTTGTTTACTGGCTGGCAGATACATATCACTAGCTTCATAACTATGTACTGCTAGGTGTGTCCAGCGAGCCGCCTGAACGATCGAGTTCGACTGCTAAGGCACGGCCCTCAAACGAAGGGTAGAACCTCGACTGTCAATCTTGAATGGCAGTGTCAACTTATAGGTCTTGGTCAGTGTTGCCGACCCGCTACTGGTTACGATCCAATGATGACAGCAGCGAAAGGACGGAGGGCCATTTCTGGCTATCGACCGTTCGGCTATTCGTGCGGTGACGGCCTATTCCTGGTAGCTGCTCAATATCTTGTGCGAGATATTGGCAATGTCGTAAGGACGCAACCGGAGTGACATCACTCCCGATTGCTGACGCTCTCTCACGAATTCCCTCGAGGCAAAAGTAGTGGAAGCTATAGAAAGCTATAACTTCTCATTCGCTGTTCTTTGATAAACCTCTTTGGCCAATCAAACACGATTCTAGTTTATTTACTAATATCTATTGCTAATCATATTAAATGTGTTGTTTATAAGGAAAAATGCTCTGGCTAAAAAATAAGTCAATAGACAGTGCAGCTGTATAGAGTTTCTAAAACAAACTAATCCAGCCTCTTCCTAACCCGCACATAATCTACACTGTGAAGAGTCAAGGAGACTCAAGCCGCAACAGGTAAACACGGAATAGCTTTCCTTGGATTGGCGTACTTAATGATCCGAATACGCCAGCGACCCAACGAAACCTATTATTACATGAAGATGACAACATATAGTGAATACCTGACACTTGTTGTTTTGTAGAGTATTTTGATATAATCAGAATACCCTTAAACTAATTTTTGCTCATATTTCTCTCACTTAGCTACTTGTCAACGAGTGCGTTCATAAAGGAAGACGTCTTCTAGAATCTGGAGTAGGTTTCTAGCATTGCTTAGCCCTTTCGTATGCCATAGTCGATAAAACGTTTACCTGATTTGTTGCGATTACTGGTTGATGTCATACTTACCAACCAATAATATGGTAAATAAAAGTTACTCTTTCAGTCAACCATTTATGGTCGTAAAGCCGACTATTGCAGACGCATTTCGTTTTTGAACTTCAAACAAAAGTCTCTGGAGAAAATATTCCTTTGTACACTCATATTTCGACAGGTATAATCCACTAGTTTTTTTCAAAATGTTCAAAACTGGATACGGAATCATCTTCTACAGCTCCTAATATTTCGATAGTGAGTGGTTGCCCGATAAATCTGGGCTGCGGTTTCTTATCGCTCGTCCTAGTGATTTTGCTATTATACTATACACCTATATATATATATATAGGTAACCACCATGAAAGGCTTTATTAGTCGCTATAGAGGCGGTCATCAATCCCGCTAACTTAAAAATCTAGAGGGCAAGAGAACCAAAGGAACCCTCTCCATCGCAAGCGTTGCAGGATTTTTAATTCTTGGTCTTCAACGGCCAGCTGCCGCTCAATTGATTTGCTTTACCCAAGTCAAACAGCAGTGTTTGTCCCACAGCCACTAGCGATATCTGATGGTGTCTGACGAGCAATATCGCAATTCGAACTCCTATGTTGGCTATCAACATATTGGTTATCCGTACACAATTCAGTATTCAAAAGACGGCTGCAACTTTTTGAAGACGAACCAGCAGAGCGACAAGGTCTTGCTGAAAGTCGATTTCAGAAATACGTTTAGGCTGATTAGAAAAAAATCAGTCAGCGAACATTTGCTAGAAGTCTACAGACGTTCAAGCAGCCCTTGTTGATTTAATACCGACAATGCCTTTAAGCCGCGTAGGCTTCCAAGGGCTCTCAGTAGACTTGCTTTATTTTGCATTATCGTCCTTCATCTAATCTGCCGGAGTTTGATTTCTGCTATCTAAGCAATAAGACCTTAAGCAATACATTAGCCACAGCTTTGAAAAACATTGTTAAAGAGATGAAATTTCAGGTTTGGAACCCAATAACGTAAAGTACGTTTAGGCTTATCTTCTCCGAGCGCGCTTGCGGCCACCTATAGTGCTTATACTTTTCCCCTAGATGCTTAGCCAACGCTCTGCCTCTTTTACAGAAACCTCTCAACACCTTGTATCGCTAAGGGTGTGTTTAATGATAAAGCGAAAAAGTGCTCCCCAAAGATTCCAGAGAGAGCTTGTTTGGAGTCAGGATGGCAGATAAATTTGGGCTACAAGTTTAACTTTGCAGTACATACAAGAAGCTTAGTGTGCGAAACGCGATCGATCTAAGCGAAAACTAACACCTGACATAAACCTAATAGGTGCCATCATAGGTAATGCAAGCGAACAACTTCCCGTTGAGTGTCCTCCTGAAAAAGTAGCCTATTCAGAAGTGTGCAGAGGTGTTGCTAAGCCACCAAAGGTTGCTTAGACGGCCTTAAGCTTTTGGCAGATATTTGCTGACGGATTATTTCCAGGCAGTTGAGACCTGTTTAGCAAATTAATTTTCAGCAAGATTTTGCTGTTCAGTTACTTCGTTTTCAAAATGTCTTTCAAAATGTGCTCCCATTTTCCGCCCATCTCTTACACACCATATTGAGTTGAAGTAACCAGATCCCTCGAATCTTCCCCATCAGACGCTGTCGAATATCGCCGATAGCTCCTCATAGTTCCTTCCTTATAGATAGGACAAGCCAATTGACCCGCGACTGGCCACTGAAGGCCAAGAAGCAGAGTTTTTGCAACTCTTGCAGTAGAAAGGACTGTTCTTTCTAGCTATCAAGTCATAGATCTAGTCAAGCAGGTCTTTACAATGATAGCGTCGCAGGGCATCGGAGCCACGTTCACAGAAACTGGGACAGTTCCTAATGGCGACTCAGACGTCCTCTTCAGAAAGCTCAGTCTGTACTACCATGTGTCATAGGGCGCGGATAAGAGAATAGTGTCGACATACCATGCTCCAGGTTCTGCATGGTCCTGTCGTGGCCTACAAGAGCTACAGATTCTGACGAGAGAAACGCCATTTGGGTTCAGCGGATGCTTGCACTCAACATTGCCTCAGAGGATGGCAGCAATGTCTCGACCAAACACTATTATTATGATTAGTGCCGATTGTTGAACCTTGGATACTACATGTTGCAAATAACGTGACGAATAAGTAATAGGGAATAATCAAGAGTTGAACTGAAAACAATAACTAAAAGAAGTAACTAAATGAAATGGTGGATTAGCTAGAACCAAACGCAAGATGTGCAAAAAAGCGCATCAAAGGCTACAGCCTGAGCAAAACTATCCAGATAAATAAAATACTGTATTTGATCCGTGAAATACTAAAATCTGTCCCTCCTAGGCAAATATCCAGCCTAGACGAATGGCCTAACTCGACCGGCTACCTTGAAATTATCGGATAATTGTTAACCGTTTAATATGAGTGTTTATGAACAAGTAAGTCCTTAAGGAAAGCTTTTTTCCGATTACTTTTAGTGACTGACGCTGACTGAAACTGGTAGATAATGTCACACCTAAACAGGACAAAGAACTGCTTGGGTAGAGCACCGAACCGAGCTTTCTCTCCCAACACATATCTAGGATCAGCTGTTATATGAAGTACACAGCTGCATCCGAAACCGTTTTTTAGAAAATTCGAAGTCACCGTGTTTCGAACTTCATTCACTAGAGCCTC